TCTCAACTCCTGGACTCAGCAATCTTCCCACCTTAACCTCCTGAGTAGCTAGGACCATAGGCACATGACACCATGCCTGGCTAATCTTTAACATTTTTTTGTAGGGATGGGCTCTTGCCAAGTTGCCTAGGCTAGCTTCGAACTCCTGGCCTCAAGCACTCCTCCTGCCTCGGCCTCCCAAAGTGTTGGGATGACAGATGTGAGCCACCATGCCTGGCCCTTACAATCATCTTGTGCCATAAGTAATGTTAGCTCCGACTTTCCAGTTGACAACACCTGAGGCCAACAGGGTTACAACGTTGTTAAAGCTGGGACATGATAGAGTCATGAATATTTATGAATTAAGCCTGGTTTTGTTAGAAAAAGGGCCACTGCTCTCTATCATGAACACTTTTTGGTTTTTTTGGACACAGTGTCATTTCTGTTGCCCAGGCTGGAGTACAGTGGTGCGATCGTGGCTCACCGCAACCGCCACCTCCTGCGTTCAAGTGATTCTCATGCCTCAGTCTCCCAAGTAGCTAGATTACAGGCATGTGCCACCCGGCTAATTTTTGTATTTTTTTCTTTTTTTTTTTTTTTTTATCCTGGGAGGGAGCCGGCCCCCGGCCCCCAGGGCCCTTATGCCCCAACTCAATTTTTGTATTTTTAGTAGAGATGGGGTTTCACCAATTGGCCAGGCTGGTCTCCAACTCCTGACCTCAGGTGATCCACACACCTCAGCCTCCTAAAGTGCTGGGATTACAGGTGTGAGCCACTGTGCCTGACCGTGACTGGCTTATTTCACTTAGCATAATAATGTCCTCAAGGTTCATCCATATTGTCTCATGGGACAGGATTTCCTTAATTTTTTAATATTGTATTTTTTTGAGACAGAGTGTGGCTCTGTGGCCCAGGCTGGAGTGCAGTGGCTTGATCTCGGCTCACTGCAACCTCTGCCGCCCAGGTTCAAGCAATTCTTGTGCCTCAGCCTCCTAAGTAGCTGGGACTTATAGGCATGCACCACCATGCCCAGCTTATTTTTGTGTATTTTTAGTAGAAATGGGGTTTTGTCATATTGCCCAGGCTGGTCTCAAACTCCTGGCCTCAAGTGATCCACCCACCTTGGCCTTCCAAAGTGCTGGGATTACAGGCATGAGCCACCTCGCCTGGCCAATTATTCGTATTTTCATATAGAGATTTGGTTTTGCTATGTTGGCCAGGCTGGTCTCAAACTCCTGGCCTCAGGTGATCTGCCCGCCTCAGCCTCCCAAAGTGCTGGGATTACAGGCATGAGCCCCTGTGCCCAGGCTCCTTCATCCATTTTTGAATTGTGTAATTTTTTTCTTTTTTGGAGACAGAATCTAGCTCTGTCACCCAGGCTGGAGTGCAGTGGTGTGATCTTGGCTCACTGCAGCCTCTGCCTCCTAGGCTCAAGCAATTCTCCTGCCTCAGCCTTCTGCCTTCTAGAGAAAAAGCACAGGTCTATTTAGAACTGAGGGGGAGATACATGATTTGAAACCCATTCCATGTGGGCCCTTTCCATTCCGGGCAGCCCTTCCTCTCTTCCCTCCTGAGACTGTGTCTAAAAGGAAGACTACTGCCTATCACTCAGCTCAGAGATCAGTGCTTTAACTCCTCATAAATACTTAGGATATCTGAAAAGTACAGTCAACCATCCTTAGGCCTCCTAAAGTATCAGCTCTCAGCTGGGCGTGGTGGCTCACGCCTGTAATCCCAGCACTTTGGCAGGCTGAGCTGGGTGGATCAGTTGAGGTCAGTTCGAGACCAGCCTGGCCAATGTAGTGAAACCTCGTATTTACTAAAATTGCAAAAATTAGCTGGGCGTGGTGGCAGGTGCCTGTAATCCCAGCTACTCAGAAGGCTGAGGCAGGATAATCACTTGAACTTGGGAGGTGGAGGTTGCAGTGAGCCGAGATCATACCACCGCACTCCAGCCTGGGTGACAGAGTGACATTCCGTCTCAGAAACAAGAACAAAAATTAGCCAAGCATGGTAGGGCGCCTGTAATCCCTGCTACTTGGGAGGCTGAGGCAGGAGAATTGCTTGAACCCAGGAGGTGGAGGTTGCAGTAAGCAACCTGCCACTGCACTCCACCCTGAGCAACAGAGTGTGACTCCATCTCAAAAAAAAAAAAAAAGTATCATCTCTTTGTATCTAGGTATAGAGATTACTCGGTAGGAAGATCATAGTAGATTGTAGGACTGTGCACGGTGACTCATGCCTGTAATCCCAGTACTTTGGGACGCTGAGGCAGCTGGATCACGAGGTCAAGAAATTGAGACCACCCTGGCCAACATGGTGAAACCCTGGCATGCACCTGTAGTTCCAACTACTCAGGAGGCTGAGGCAGGAGAATTGCCTGAACCTGGGAGGCAGAGGTTGTGGCGAGCCATCGCTCCACTGCACTCCAGCCTGGCAAAAGAGCGAGACTCTGTCTCAAAAAAAAAAAAAAAAAAAAAAGATCATAGTAAATAATTGCCTGTTAGTGCACAAAGCATTAGACATCCCCTCTTTTCTCTGTGGCCTCTGGGTACATGCAGTAGATTTTAAAGTTCAAAATCCAGTTTACCAACCTTTGTACCATTTGTCAGCTGGCAATTAAATGTTAACAGTGAATCCAGGAAAATAGAGGATGCTTCAAAGAAGGAAATCTGAGAGTACACTGCACCCAAGCAGCCTCTGTTTGGCCTGAGGAACAAGGAACAGACCTATGTTCCGGCCTTGGCGTGAGTGAATGTTTGGCATAGTTGGCTGGCAACAACAGGGCTTATGACCTGAAAACTCATTCTGGAGGTGGAGGATGTTGGGGTGAGTCCTTCCTTTTGGGAGGATGATGGAGTTAGGGGAAGGGTGCAAGAAGATCAAAAGTGGACCCAGAAGCATAGGACTGAGAGAAGTCCAGCACATTTTAGGGTCTCCTTATAAGATTAATTATAGGAGGTACTACAGCAGAGGGAAAACAAAATATGCAACTGGCATTTCTTAGTTCCTACTATGAGTGGTGTTCCTTGTTTGGCATTATACAAATGTGATTTCATGTAGTTTTTTTTTTTTTTTTTGAGATAGAGTCTCCCTCCGACACCCAGTGCTGCGATCTCGGCTCACTGAAACTTCCACCTCCTGGGTTCAAGCGATTCTCTTGCCTCAGCTTCCCGAGTAGCTGGGATTCCAGGCACGCACCAATGCACCTGGCTAAATTTTTAGTAGAGATGGGGTTTTACCAAGTTGGCCAGGCTGGTCTCAAACTGCTGAGCTCAAGTTATCCTCCCGCCTCAGCTTCCCAATGTGCTGGGATTACAGGTGTGAGCCATCGCGCCCGGCGTATTGTTACTTTTTAAAATATATGTCTTACTTTCTCATCTGGAGTCTATTAAATTGTACTCCAAAAGGGAGAGCCATTTAAATAAAACTGGTCTGGAAAAATATAATCTGGAAGTATTTTCTTCAAAGTCCTACATCCTCTACTGTTGAGGTTTCTGTCATCTTAGAAGCATAGAAAGTAATTTTGTAGTCCGAATCCCTCTTCTAAAACCTAAGAAAACTGAAGCCCAGAGAAGGTGAAGTACTTGTCCCAGGTCATCCGGCTAGAAAGTGGCAGATAGTTGACTAGAAACTTCATTTTTTTTTCTTTTGAGACAGAGTTTCACTCTTGTCCAAACTGAAGTGCAATGGTACGATCTCAGCTCACTGCAACCTCTGCCTCCCGGGTTCAAGTGATTCTCCTGCCTCAGCCTCCCAAGTAGGTGGGATTACAGGTGCCCACCCTCATGCCCAGCTAATTTTGTATTTTTTTAGTAGAGATGGGATTTCGCCATGGTGGTCATGCTAGTCTCGAATTCCCAACCTCAGGTGATCCACTCACTTCTGCCTCCCTTCTAGGCTGGGCGCAGTGGCTCACGCCTGTCATCCCAGACTTTTGGGAGGCCAAGGTGGGTGGATCACCTGAGGTTGGGAGTTTGAGACCAGCCTGACCAACATGGAGAAACCCTGTTTCTACTAAAAGTACAAAAAAATAGCCAGGCGTGGTGACACATACCTGTAATCCCAGCTACTCGGAAGGGTGAGGGAGGCAGAGATTTCGGTGAGCTGTGATCGTGCCATTGCACTCCAGTCTGGGCAAAAAGATGGAAACTCCATCTCAGAAAAAGCAAAACAAAACAAAACAAAACAAAACAAAAACAACCTCATTAGAAAAGAAAGAGAGTCAGAAACATAGCTTAGGTACAGACTTTTTTTTTTTTTTGAGATGGAGTCTTCCTCTGTCAGCCAGGCTGGAGTGTGGTAGCACCATCTCAGCTCACAGCAACCTCTGCCTCCCAGGTTCAAACGTTTTTCTTGCCTCAGCCTCCTTAGTAGCTGGTATTACAGGCACACGCCACCATCCCCAGCGAATTTTTTGTATTTTTAGTGGAGACAGGGTTTCGCCATGTTGGCCAGGCTGGTCTTTGAACTCCTGACCTCAAGTGATCCGCCTGCCTCTGCCTGCCAAAATGCTGGGATTTACAGGCATGAGCCACCACGCCTGGCTGGTTTACTGACTTTGAAGTCAAGAAATCTTTTACTGTACCGCTGTGTAATTATGTGCAATTATGACCCTCATAGATCTTCGCAGAAATGGTAAAAACAAAAAACAAAAAACAGACGTTATATGAAATATTCTCCTAGGGCTGGAACTCAAGCAAAAATCTGTAAACAAGCAAAACACTTGAGTCCACTTCTCACAAATTAAGTTTCACTAGCACACATCCTGTTTTGTTTTGTTTTGTTTTTTTAGATCGAGTTTCCCTCTTGTTGCCCAGGCTGGAGTGCAATGTCTCTATCTCGGCTCACCGCAACCTCTGCCTGCTGGGTTCAAGCAATTCTCCTACCTGTCTCCCAAGTAGCTGGGATTATAGGCATGTACCACCACGCCCGGCTTTGTATTTTTTAGTAAAGACGGGGTTTCTCCATGTTGGTCAGGCTGGTCTCAAACTCCCAACCTCAGGTGATCCACCTGCCTCGGCCTCCCAAAGTGCTGGGATTACAGGCCTGAGCCACCATGCCTGGCTACATAATTACAACAGGGAGTGCTCTTAACAGTTCTGGTCTCCTCGACCTCTTCCTCTTCCTAAGCATTTCTCTTCTGCTTTGCATCCCAGTCCCCAGTCCTGATAATGGGACTGGTAAGTAGAACTCTGCAATATGGGTCAGGAACATCTACAGTTTAAGACAAGTAAAGAATTGATGGCAGCAGTGGCCCTTCTGGAGCGGCTACTGCGATGAGGCCGGCTGTACTGGGGGAGGCGCGGACCGGGCTGCAAGCTCTGTGGAGCTGGCCAGAGCCCCACCCACTTCTGAGTTGGAGGGGCGGGATCCCCAAGCTTTCAGGCAAGGCTGCAGCCATACAGCCATAGCTGCGGACCTGGACATCCCTGTACTCTAGGAGGCCGGGAGGCCCCCCTCCCCCGGCAGGCTTGGAAGTGCCTGCTCCCGCTGCCTGGCCTCTCCCTCCTGGAGCCCACTCTGGGGCGGAGCAAAGTTGTGGCTGAGCCCAAGTGGTGTCTAGACCCAGCTAGGTGTGCTGTGCTTGTTGGGGGCGCTTCTGACATGCCAGTCCCCTGCCACCTTGGCCCCCTCTAGACTTTGGGAACTGACAAGTGCAGGAGGGAGGCTGGTGGTGGGGGGCAGGGGACGCTGAGGACAGCTGAGTGCAAGCCTGCCGGCACTCCTCTGCAGGAACAGCCTGGGCGGGATGGACGACCTGATTGATGGTAGCAGGAGGCAGACAGGCTCCTGGGCGGAAAGGGGTGGGTCCCCGGTGAAGCCCCACCGTCAAGCCCCCGGAGGCCTGAAGCTTGGGGGCCGAGCTGTCAGTTCCGCCTGAAGTCTGTGGCCGGGAGTGAGAACTTAGGTGCTTTTTCCGGGTCCGCCCATGGCCGCCCCACGGACCAATCAGCATGCACTTCCTCTCTTCTCATCCCGGCCAGACTCACACAGATGCTGGGACTACCAGCGGTGGCAAGGAGCTGCCCAATTCAGGTCTTCTTGACTCATCAAGACGACCAGCCTGCGGAAGGGAGCTACCTACTCTGAGTCTCCTCTCCGTTGAGAGCTGGACCCTCACTGGGACAACCTGCCTGCGGAAAGGAGCTATCCACTTCAGGTTTCGCGAGAGCTGCTCTGTCACTCAATAAGGCTCCTCTCTGCCTTGCTTACCCTCTAGTTGTCCGTGGACCTCATTCTTCCTGGATGTGGGACAAGAACTCAGGACCTACTGAATGATGGGACTGAAAGAGCAGTAACACAAACAGGGCTGAAACACACCCTCTCCCCCCACCCCGACTTGACATGTTGCGGGTGATGTGAAGGAGAGAAGTGCTGTGGCCCTTCTGGGGTCCCAGACCTAGGGGCTCCCTGAGCCAGGGCTGTGATACCCTCTTTGGAGCTCTGCGGTTTCTGGCATCTTCAAACTTCTGGGCAGCGCTGCGTCCCCCTTGTCCAGACACAGTGCCCACAGCAGACACCGCTTATGGTTCATCAGATCCAGCTGCAGACTTGCACGGAACCAGCACCTTTGCCAGTGCCTGGAGCTGCCCGCCCAGCTGCAGCAGCTGGTGTGTCTGGCTGTGCGCAGTGGCTAGACCCTGTGCTTGCTCACCCACACACCCCTTGCCACTCCATGCCTGGCTAACCCTTGGCAGGTGTGGAATCCTGGCTGGTAGCATGAGCCAAGCACAGCCTGCTAGCCCATGTCAGCGGAATGAGTACCCTGGCCAGATCAAAACTCAGTCAAAGGCACCACTGGTCACAGAGGTTTCCAGCTGGAAAAGCAACACCCGAAGGATCTCGTGACACGATCAACTTGCTAGGAGATCCCTGCCACCCACAGAGGCTGCAGGAAGTTGCCTCCATCCAGGCCTCTTCACAGAAGGGGAATTGCAGAGACCGTAGGATTTTTCTGCTCATGAAAACAGATGGTGTCTGGCCAGGAAAATAAAATGCTTCAAGCAAAGTGCCATAGGGATTAGAATCCTGATGATCTGAGACTCTGATAATGACTCGGATGATTCCCAATTCTATGATGAATCATTTCAGAATGACTCTGAGATGACAATTCCTGATTCTATGATGATTGAGGCAGATCTCATTGGTTGGCAGATCTACTTGGTAAAGCTGAGTCATCATAACACCATCATTTTCAGAGGTGAGAGCTGTCCCAATACTTTAAAAATGGTCTACAGGCTGCTCTGTTTGTGGAGTAGCCATTCTTTATTTCTTTACTTTCCTAGTAAACTTGCTTTCATGGCTGGGTGTGACTCATGCCTGTAATCCCAATACTTTGGAAGGTGGAGGTGGATGGATCACTTGAGGTCAGGAGTTCAAGACCACCCTGGTCAACATGGTGAAATACCCTCTCTACTAAAAATACAAAAATTATCCGGGTGGTGGTACATGCCTGTAATCCCAGCTACTCAGGAGGCTGAGGCAGGAGAATGGCTTGAACCCGGGAGGTGCAGGTTGTGGTGAACCAAGATTGCACCACTGCACTCTAGCCTGGGCGAAAGAGCGAGACTCTGTCTCAAAAACAAAACAAAAACAAAAAAACTAAACTTGCTTTCACTTTAACAAAATGATCCACGTCTTCATTTATATTCTTCCCTCATAGATAGAATACACACCGAACCTCAGACAGGGGTTGTGGGTTTTCCCATCCATGCAAGTGATGCCAGCCTTTTGGCGTGATGCCAAAGGGTAGTTGACTCAGTAATTCCTTTTAGAAGGTGGAGCTAAGTGGACTTGTGTGGCAGAAAAAGCAGGGATTTTTTTTTAGGCCAGGCACATTTAGGTGCAAATCTGAGTGCTGCCAGTTACCAGCTGTGTGATTTTAGATAAGGTACTTGAATTTGAGTGTAGTTATGTATAAAATGAAGTGAATAATAATAGCTTCTGTGCTGGGCGCGGTGGCTCACGCGCTGTAATCCCAGCACTTTGGGAGGCCGAGGCGGGTGGATCATGAGGTCAGGAGTTCGTGACCAGCCTGGCCAATGCGGTGAAACCCCATCTCTGCTAAAAACACAAAAATTAGCTGGGTGTGGTGCATGCCTGTTATCCCAGCTGCTCGGGAGGCTGAGGCAGGAGAATTGCTTGAACCTGGGAGGTGAAGGTTGCAGTGAGCTGGGATTGTACCACTGCACTCCAGCCTGGGCAACAGAGTGAGACTCTGTCTCAAAAAAAAAAAAAAAAATATATATATATATATATATATATAAAGTATTAAAGCCCTTTGTAGAGTGCCTAGGATATAATAGGCACCCTCTAAAGATTTGTTCCTTTCTGGCTACCTGGTGATATAAGGATTACAACTATTTTTGGATTAGGAAGAATAGCTGGGAGTGACCTGATGGGGCCCTACGCTTGTTTTGTCCTGCCCTTACGCAGGACCATTCTCTTATTCGCTAACCTTTGGCATGAAGCATTGACCTTCCTCACAAATAATAAACGTGCAATGATTCTTGTTTGAAAACAGTATGGATAATCAGTATTATAAACCCTGTTGCACGTTCCTTGGAGCATTTTGTCTGCCTGGCTAGACACCATGTGAACAGGGTCAATCCAGAATACATCACCTGGGTAAATTATTTACAGGTCTATCTCACTTTAAAAGTGGACCTTATTTGTGACTTAAATAACATTCAACTATAATTGACACTTCGAGATTTTTTTTTTAAAGAAGCAAGCTTACAGAAAAGATGAAAGAAGGAGAAAACGTGCAAAAGGCCATGATTCAGAATATATTAATTCATACAACTTTTCTTCCTTGCTCTTTTTTTTTTATTTTTATTTTTGAGATGGAGTCTTGCTCTGTCACCCAGGCTGGAGTGCAGAGGCAGGATCTTGGCTCACTGTAACCTCCACCTCTCGGGTTCAAGCAATTCTCCTGCCTCAGTCTCCCAAATAGCTGGGACTACAGGCATGTGCCACCATGCCCAGCTAATTTTTGTATTTTTAGTAGAGATGGGGTTTCACCATGTTGGCCAGGCTGATCTTGAACTCCTGATCTCAAGTGATCCACCTGACTTGGCCTCCCAAAGTGCTGAGATTCTAGGCATGAGCCACCATGTCTGGCCCTTTGTTCATTTTATAGATATTTTACAGATACCAGATGGGGGAAATTATGCAGTTACATTGCTTAGGATCTGGACAGGGCAGCAGACAAAACAATTTCCCAGACTTTCTATTTTTTTTTCTTTTTAAAAAGAATGTCAGAAACCTATTGCTTGCTAAATTTTCCCAAACTTTCTTTCAGTACCTAGTCTCTGAAGCCATGGTTAAAAACAAAAACAGTTAAAGACCTGTGAATAGTTGTTAAGCACTCTTTATTTACCTTCAGTAATATATATTAGTGAAACACAATTCTCAATCTTGTAGTTCTCATTCTACATTTGGAATGTTCCAAATTTATTGAAGACTATAAATTAACACACCTAAGAATCCCAGTGAATCCCAAGCCACATAAACACAAAGGAAACCACAAGGCATTGCAGAATCAAATTTCTGAAAACCAGTGATTAGAGACTTTTTTTTTTTTTTGCGATTGAGTCTTGCTCTGTCACCCAGGCTCGCGTGCAGTGGTATGGTCTTGGCTCACAGCAACCTCTGCCTCCCAGGCTCAAGTGATTCTCCTGCCTCAGCCTCCTGAGGAGCTGGGACTACAGGCATGTGCCACCATCCCCGGCTAATTTTTGTATTCTTTATTTATTTATTTTTTTTGAGACGGAGTTTTGCTGTTGTTGCCCAGGCTGGAGTGCAATGGCACGATCTCGGCTCACCGCAACCTCCACCTCCTGGGTTCAAGCAATTCTCCGGCCTCAGCCTCCCGAGTAGCTGGGACTACAGGCATGCACCATCATGCCCAGCTAATTTTTGTATTTTTAGTAGAGGCGAGGTTTCACCTTGTTGACCAGGATGGTCTCGATCTCTTGACCTCGTGATCCACCCGCCTCGGCCTCCCAAAGTGCTGGGATTACAGGCTTGAGCCACCGCGCCCAGCCTAATTTTTGTATTCTTAATAGAGACAGAGTTTCACTATGTTGGCCAGGCTGGTCTTAAACTCCTGACCTCAAGTGATCCACCTACCTTAGCCTCCCAAAGTGCTGGGATTACAGGTGTGAGCCACCACGCCTGGCCTGATTAAGAGAAAATTTTAGGGCCGGGCGCGGTGGCTCAAGCCTGTAATCCCAGCACTTTGGGAGGCCGAGGTGGGTGGATCATAAGGTCAAGAGATCGAGACCATCCTGGTCAACATGGTGAAACCCCGTCTCTACTAAAACTACAAAAAAATTAGCTGGGCATGGTGGCGCGTGTCTGTAGTCCCAGCTACTCAGGAGGCTGAGGCAGGAGAATTGCCTGAACTCAGGAGGCGGAGGTTGCGGTGAGCCGAGATCGCGCCATTGCACTCCAGCCTGGGCAACAAGAGCGAAACTCCGTCTCAAAAAAAAAAAAAAAAAAAGAGAAAATTTTAAAGATGAGACTGATGGCTGGTTTCTCATCAAAAACAATGCAAACTAGAGGTGGTGGAATGACATCTTTAATGCGCTGAAAGAAAAACACTGTCAGCCTAGAATTTTATATCCGGTGAAAATGTTCTCCAAAAATGAAGGCATAATCCAAAAATGGATTTTTATTTCAGGAAAGCTGAAGCCAAAAGAATTCACTAAAACTGTACTACGAGAAATGCTAAAGGAAGTTGTTCAGACTGATGGAAAATTATACCAGATGGACACTTGAATTTATGCAAAGGAATGAAGAGCACCAGAAATGGCAAATATGTGTGTAAATATAAAATATATTTTTCCTGTTTTTAACATCTTTAAAAGATATTTAACTATCTAGGATGAAAATAATAGCCATGTATTATGGGCTTTATAACTTCTGTAGAAGTGGCTGGGCACAATAGCTCACATCTGTAATCCTAGCACTTTGGGAGGCTGAGGTGGGCAAGTCACTTGAGGTCAGGAGTTCAAAACCAGCCTGGCCAACATGGTGAAACCCTGTCTCTACTAAAAACATAAAAAATTAGCAGGGCAGCTGGGCACAGTGGCTCACACCTGTAATCCCAGGACTTTGGGACACTGAGGCAGGTGGATCACCTGAGGTCAGGAGTTCGAGACCAGCTGGCCATCATAGTGAAACCTTGTCTCTACTAAAAATACAAAAAATTAGCCAGGCATGGTGGTGTGCGCCTGTAATCCCAGCTACTCAAGAGGCTGAGGCAAGAGAATCGCTTGAACTCGGGAGGTGGAGTTGCAGTGAGCCGAGATCATGCCCTTACACTCCATCCTGGGCAACATGAGTGTAACTGTCTCAAAAAAAAAAAAAAAAAAAAAAAAAAAAAGGGAGTGGCTTAGGGTAGGCAACTAAAGGTGTTAACTAGGTTCAGTCCTGGACACACAGAAAAAGAAGAACCTCAAAGGCCAAAATTGGCACCACTCAAGCTGGTACTAAACTGGGCACAAGAATACCCTGATGCAAGCACTTCCGTCGTTGAATCTTGAGACAGGTGTGTGTATATTGTGGAGATAGATACATCAGTCTGTCTTTATTTATTCATTTATTTAACAGATTTTTTTTTTTTTTTGAGACGAAGTCTTGCTCTATCGCCAGACTGGATTGGCTCACAGCAACCTCCGCCTCCCGGGTTCGAGCGATTCTTCTGTCTCAGCCTCCCCAGTAGCTGGGACTACAGGCATGCACTACCACGCCCGGCTAATTTTTGTGTTTTTTAGTAGAAACAGTGTTTCACCATGTTGGCCAGGATGGTCTTGATCTCCTGACCTCGTGATTCACCCACCTCAGCCTCCCTAAGTGCTGGGATTACAAGTATGAGCCACCACACCTGGCCCAGAGTTTTTATTGTATCAGGTACTACTATAATCTCTGGAATTATAGCAGTAGAAAAATCAGACAAATCTTTACCGTCATGGTGCTTATATTCTTGTGAATGTATCTTAGCTGAATGCAACTGATTTCATGCTCATTAATAAATCTTCTAGTTACGGCCGGGCGCGGTGGCTCAAGCCTGTAATCCCAGCACTTTGGGAGGCCGAGGCAGGCGGATCACGAGGTCAAGAGATTGAGACCATCCTGGCCAACATGGTGAAACCCCGTCTCCACTAAAAATACAAGAATTAGCTGGGCGTGGTGGCACGCACCTATAGTCCCAGCTACTTGGGAGGCTGAGGCAGGAGAATTGCTTGAACCCAGGAGGCGGAGGTTGCAGTGAGCCAAGATTGTGCCACTGCACTCCAGCCTGGAGCCTGGCGACAGAGTGAGACTCTGTCTCAAAAAAAAAAAAAATCTTCCAGTTATAATTGGGCTTCTCATAGCCCTCAAGCAGACCCACATCTCATTATGAATTAAAAAGTTGAGGCCAGGCAGGGAGTGGTGGGTCACGTATATAATCCCAGCACTTTGGGAGGCCAAGGCCGGTGGATCATTTGAGGTCAGGAGTTTGAGACCAGCCCGGCCAACATGGTGAAACCCTGTCTCTACTAAAAATATAAAAATTAGCTGGGAAGTAGTGGTGTGCACCTGTAATCCCAGCTACTTGGGAGGCTGAGGCAGGAGAATCACTTGTGCCTAGGAAGCAGAGGTTGTGGTAAACCAAGATCGCACCACTGCACTACAGTCTGGGCGAGAGACTGAAATCCTGTCTCAAAAAAACAAAAACAAAAACGGAGGCCAGGTATGGTGACTCAGGCTTGTAATCCCAGGAGGCTGAGGTGTGAGGATCACTTGAGCCCAGGAGTTCAAGACCAGCCTGGACCACTTAGGGAGACCTCATCTCTACAAAAAAAATAAATAAATAAAATAAAATTTAAAAAATTAGCTGGGCATGATGGCGCACACCTGTGGTCCCAACTACTTGGGAGGCTAAAGTGGGGGGATTCCTTGAGCTTGGGAGTTTGAGGATGTAGTGAGCCGTAACTATACCACTGCACTTGAGCCTGGGTGACTGAGTGAGAGACCCTGTCTCAAATAAAAAAAAATAAATTGATATTCTAATTTCATGTATCAGTCTCTTGGCTAATGTGAGTCCTTCTAGACACACAGATTTACCTCTAGTGAAGTGACAAATCAAGTTTCAGACTTGCATATCGGAGGGCCAGTATCGGAACCGTGATAAACTCAGCTAGGCATTTCAACCCTGTGAGCCACTATGGGAGACAAGAGCCACACAGCTTTTTACATTAATGACACCAATCTTGCAGGTGAGCCTTTCCCTTATTTGGAGTGTTTACATGTATTCATATATGTGAAAGGGATATAAGAAGGAATATTAAATTAGAAGCATTTGAAATCTATCCAAGGAAGGTGTACTGACCTTGAAACTGATTTGGCAATGTATTATGAACTAATTGGATAAAAAAATCATTCCCTGGAGCATTCAAAGTTAAAAAAAATCCTGTTGATGGACATTTAGATTTATTTTCCTTTATTTTTATTTTTATTTTTGGAGATGGAGTCTTGCTCTGTCGCTCAGGCTGGAATGCAGTGGTGTGATCTTGGCTCACTGCAACTTCCACCTCCTGGATTCAAGTGATTCTCCTGCCTCAGCCTGAGTAGCTGGGATTACAAGTGACTGCCACCACGCCTGGCTATTTTTTGTGTGTGTGTGGTATTTTTAGTAGAGATGGGGTTTCACCATGTTGGCCAGGCTTGTCTTGAACTCCTGAGCTTAGGTGATCTGACTGCTTTGGCCTCCCAAAGTGCTGGGATTATAGGCATGAGCCACCATGCCGTGCTGACTTTTATCCATTTTTGATTGACTCATTTTTCTTTTTCTTATTCATTTAGTAGCCCTTTTATATAATTCATTATTCTTATTCCTCTCTTTGTTATTTTTGTTACAGACGTGTACTGAATCTGTGGCTAGGATGCTTTTTTGCTAGTAGTGTCTTTGGTCATATGGAAGTCTTTCAATTTAAAGTAGCCAAGTTTGACCAGATGCAGTAGCTCATGCGTGTAATCTCAGCACTTTGGGAGGCCGAAGTGGGAGGATCCCTTGAGTCCAGGAGTTGGAGACCAGCCTAGGCAACATGACAGACTTTGTCTCTACTAAAAATTAAAAAAATTAGTTGGGCGTGGTGGTACACACATGTGGTCCCAGCTACTCAGCAGGCTGAAGTGGGAGGATTCCTTGATCCCAGGAGGTTGAGGATGCAGTGAGCTGTGATAGTGACACTGCACTGCAACCTGGGCAAGGGAGCAAGACCCTGTCTCAAAAAAAAAGGTCAAATTTATCATTGCAGTTTTAACTGAGACTAAGTTATTGGATACAAGCAAGCTCAGAGTTTTTATATTAATATTTTTATGGCGAATTTTTTCTTTTATCATGTTTGTGCCTCTTTACAGTGGTTTTTTATCTTATTTATTTATTTATTTATTTTATTTATTTTTTTTCTGAGACGGAGTTTCACTCATGTTACCCAGGCTGGAGTGCAATGGCGCGATCTCGGCTCACCGCAACCTCCGCCTCCTGGGTTCAGACAATTCTCCTGTCTCAGCCTCCTGAGTAGCTGGGATTACAGGCACGCACCACCATGCCAATTTTTTTTTTTGTATTTTTGGTAGAGACGGGGTTTCACCATGTTGACCAGGATGGTCTCGATCTCTTGACCTCGTGATCCACCTGCCTCGGCCTCCCAAAGTGCTGGGATTACAGGCTTGAGCCACCGTGCCTGGCCCATATCTTATTTATTTTTTATTTTACTTTATTTTATTTTTATTGAGATGGAGTTTTGCTCTTTTTGCCCAGGCTGGAGTGCAATGGCACAATCTCAGCTCACTGTAACCTCTATCTTCTGGGTTCAAGTGATTCTCTTGCCTCAGCCTCCCGAGTAGCTGGGATTACAGGCATGCGCCACCATGCCCAGCTAATTCTGTATTTTTTTTTTTTTTTTGAGACGGAGTTTCGCTCTTGTTACCCAGGCTGGAGTGCAATGGCGCGATCTCGGCTCACCGCAACCTCCGCCTCCTGGGTTCAGGCAATTCTCCTGCCTCAACCTCCTGAGTAGCTGGGATTACAGGCACGCGCCACCATGCCCAGCTAATGTTTTTTTGTATTTTTAGTAGAGACGGGGTTTCACCGTGTTGACCAGGATGGTCTCGATCTCTTGACCTCGTGATCCACCCGCCTCGGCCTCCCAAAGTGCTGGGATTACAGGCTTGAGCCACCGCGCCCGGCCTAATTCTGTATTTTTAGTAGGGATGGGGTTTCATCATATTGGCCAGACTGGTCTAGAACTCCTGACCTCAGGTGATCCGCCACCTTGGTCTCCCAAAGTGCTGGTATTACAGGTGTGAGCCATCACGCCTGGCCGGTTTTTTATTTTTTAATTTTACATGTTATTGTTTATTTATTTATCTTTTGAGACGGGGTCTTGCTCTGTTACCCAGGCTGGAGTGCAGTGATGCGATCATGGCTTACTGACCTGGGCACAAGTTGTCTTCTGCCTTAGCCTCGCGAGTAGCTGGGACTATAGGCACATGCTATCACTCCTGGCTAAGTAATACAGCTTTATTTTTGTAAGTATTTACCTGATAATGCTTTTTCCTGATCTTTACTTTGAGTCTTACTGTTGCCTTATGTCAGTGTCATACTAAGGACAGAACAGCAGGAATGGTCCACTCCAGTTGCAGACAGTACAGACCCTGTAGCCCCAGCAGGAGCTCACCATTCTGGTTTTGAATTTCATGCTTATTACTCTCCTCTCATCATCCACTGTTTCCATGGTAGACAGCACTGAGATGGGTAAGAATGATACATGTGTAAGGATGTAACCAATAAATGAGACAGACTCACATTCGGCAGAAGAAGTCCAGAATCTATTTTTGCCAAAGTACAATGGAAAGAAGTGAAAATACAGTTTCCTTATTTACTGGCTTGAGATAGAAAAGAGTCCTAGATTACAAAAATTAAATGCAGACATAGGGTTCTCAGATGATAATTTTCAATTCATTTGGTTTGCAATATGGTGGGGAGCCCGTCAATTAAGTTAGAACCATCTGTCATTCATTACTTTATCATGTACCAGAGTAAAAATAAATGTAGAATACGTTTGTCCCCATGGAGAGACAAACCAAGAAGGGAGAAATATTGGCTGAAGGCTTGGAAAATGCTGAATATGTACATGAAAGGGGAACTTGAATATTACATTTTGAGGCCCGGTGATCATTTAGGTTTCCAGATGATTTCTCATTTCCAAGTTTGAGTCCTGTGACTGCAGAATCTCCTGATTCCACCAGTGATTGCTGTTATCAATGACCAGGGTGATGAGCCCAGATCTACCCCATTATCAGTTTTTCTGTGGCAAGTCTTGGGTGCAGGAGTGCTCCCTCTGGTGGAGAAAGACACAACTAATTACACATCTGATAATAGGCTGCTTTCCATGGCAAAAACTGCAATTAGTTTTGCACCAACCTAATATTTGGTAAATTTGTGCTAGCCATCAATTGCTGGCCATTTTGACTTTCTGGAGAGTTACCCAATGTCTCTAAACCACAATTTCCTTATCTATAAAATGGTAATATTGACCTCATCCATTTGTGAGTTTAAATAAGATTAGTCCTTATTTAAGGAATTAGTGCTCAATAAACAATACAATCCATGCTACTATTCACTCATTTTTTTTTTGAGACGGAATCTTGCTCTGTCACCTAGGCAGGAGTGCAGTGGTGCAATCTCGGCTCCCTGCAACCTCCACCTCCTGGGTTCAAGCGATTCTCTTGTCTCAGCCTCCCAAGTAGCTGGGACTACAGGCGTGTGCCACCACGCCTGGCTAATTTTTGTATTTTTCGTGGAGACAGAGTTTCATCCTCTTGGCCAGGCTGGTCTCGAACTCCTGACCGCAAGCGATCCACCCGCCTCAGCCTCCCAAAGTGCTGGGATTACAGGCGTGAGCCACCGCGCCCAACCCCTCGTTTGTTCAGCATTTATTTATTATGTATTTTCTTTTTTTTTTGAGACCAAGTTTTGCTGTTGTTGTCCATGCTGGAGTGCAATGGCGTGATCTCGGCTCACAGCAATGTCTGCCTCCTGGGTTCAAGCGATTCTCCTGCCTCAGCCTCCTGAGTTATCTGGGATTACATGCATGTGCCACCATGCCCAGCTAATTTTGTATTTTTAGTAGAAATGGGGTTTCTCCATGTTGGTCAGGCTGGTCTCGAACTCCTGACCTCAAGTGGTCTGCCCACCTTAGCCTCCCAAAGTGCTGGGATTACAGGCGTGAGCCACCGTGCCCGGCCTTATTTTATATTTTTAACATGTTAGGCACTAAGTACTCAATACATGGTAGCTGTCACTACTGCTATTTATTCATTTGGTCAATCTATATTATTATGTAATTACAGTATATCAGGCAGTGTGCCAGGTATAGTAGCTACAGCAATAAATAAGACAGAACCTTCAAGACTCTTGATAAACTTTTCTGGTTTTATCAATAGGACTCTCTTCTCCCTTATGAAAGAGATCTCTGTCAGGTCCTTTCCTATAACATGCTAGGTTCTGGCTGACCAAAGGATGGAGGCAGGTTATCAAAATGTGAAAAGTCGGCTGGGCGTGGTGGCTCACATCTGTAATCCCAGCATTTTGGGAGGCTGAGGCAGGCAGATTGCTTGAGCGCCAGAGTTTGAGACCAGCCATGGGCAACATGGTGAAACCCTTTCGCTACAAAAAATACAAAAATTAGCTGGCATGGTCAACGCCTGTAGTCCCATCTACTCAGGAGGCTGAGGTTGCAGTGAGCCGCAGTGGCGCCACAGCACTCTAGCCTGGGTGACCGAGTGAGACTCTATCTTAAAATAGAAGAAAAGAAGAGAGGAGAAGAGAAAAAAAAAAAAAAGAGGCTTTTTTTTTGAGGGGGGGGATGGAGTTTCACTCCTGTTGCCCAGACTGGAGTACAATGGCACTGTCTCAGCTCACTGCAACCACCGCCTCCCAGGTTTAAGTGATTCTCCTGCCTCAGCCTCCTGAGCAGCTGGGATTACAGGTATGTGCCACCACTCCTGGCTAATTTTAGTGTTTTAGTAGAGATGGGGTTTCACCATGTTGGCCAGGCTGGTCTTAAACTCCTGACCTCAGGTGACCTGCGCACCTTAGCTTCCCAGCCAAAGTGCTGGGATTACAGGTGTGAGCCCCGGTGCCTGGCTTTTTTTTTTTTTTTTTTTTTTCAGGAGAACCTAGTGTACCAGCTGAAAAAATTTCCATTAAAATACTAGGGGAAATTTTATGCTGTAACTGGAGAAAAAAATATAGACACAAAGCAACACAGATCACAGATCAAAACATCTACTCCAGACTTCCTACCAGACACCGAAAGAAAGCTGGGGGACTTGTCTCTTCCCGGTGCATAGGGAAAACACAGCCCTTTGAATTTCTTCCTTAGCCTTCACTGGGGTGTCAGTCATCCAGTTCCTTCAGGCTGAGACAGGCTGGAAGTAGAAAAGGGGTAAGGATTTCCTGGGCCTTCAGTCCTACAAGTAAGTTGGAGATGGGAAGGGAAGAAAGAGGCCCTTATCATGATTCTCCCTCAGAAAGTATAAGCTCTAAAAAAAAAAATCAGACCTTTCCTACTGCTAACATTGATATTCTGTCATAGTATGAAATGCATTCTTCTGTTTTTAAAATTAATTATGTTTTTGAGATATAATGTGGCTCTGTCACACAGGCTGGAGTGAGTGGCGCAATCTCAGCTCACTGCAACCTCCACCTCCCGGTTTAAGAGATTCTCCTGCCTCAGCCTCTCAAGTAGCTGGGCCTACAGGTGCCTGGCACCATGCCCTGCTAATTTTTGTATTTTTAGTAGAGATGGGGTTTTACCATGTTGGCCAGGCTGGCCTTGAACTCCTGACCTCAAATGATCGCCCACTTTGGCCTCCCAAAGTGCTGGGAATACAGATGTGAGCTGCTGCACGCAGCCAAAAAAGGTTATTTATTTATTTATTTATTTATTTATTTATTTTTGAGACAGAGTCTCGCTCTGTCACCAGGCTGGAGTGCAGTGGCGTGATCTCAGCTCACTGAAACCTCTGCCTCCCCGGTTCAAGTGATTCTCATGCCTCAGCCTCCCAAGTAGCTGGGACTACAGGCGCGCGCCACCGCATCACCATGCTGGCTAATTTGTGTATTTTTAGTAGAGATGAAGTTTCACTATCTTGGCCAGGCTGGTCTCGGATTCCTGACCTCATGTGATCACCTGCCTTGGCCTCTCAAAGTGCTGGGATTACAAGCGTGAGTCACCGTGCCCAGCTGATAATGTGTGTTCTGACCTGACCTTGGTGGCATGTGGAGAAGATGGTTTGGGACTTGTTTATCTAGGAATAAAGTTCATGTTGGCAAGCAGTGAACCTCCCTCAGTGATTTGGGCTCAGCTTGGAACCGTCCTGTGAGGCATGTGACTTCTTGCAGTGTGGAACTAGGATACTCTGAAAATGAAACAAAAAGGGAGCTTTTGCTTATGCATCCCGCTTCTGCTGAGGAACACACAGTCTAGTCACCTCCAGCACAAGATTCATGTGGGGCAGTAATAGTAACAGTAACCCTGCTAGGTCACTTACGGAAATCTCCCGCCAGGGGATGGCCAGCTGGGCCATTGATACAGTGGTACCCAGCCACCTTTCATGAGTGCCTTTAATTAAAATGACATTTTAATTAGGTATTTAGATATATCATCAGGTGAGACAGAAAGACAAACATGTTTTCCTTTAATTTTTTGGAAAACTTTCTTAGGGTTTAGCAAGAAACTAGGAAATTCAAGTTGGATAATTTAGTTTCTTTTTCTTATTTAGTTTCATTTCTCTTTACACAAATGTCATTTCCTCTCTGTCGCATTGCAGGCCACTATGCTGTCTCCTCCCCAAGACTTCTCTAGCACTCCATCATGGCAAAATTGTTTGCTGCTTCCTGTAGACTATGTGGCACATGACTCACTGCAGCAATTATCACAATGTATTTGATTACATTTCTGCTTTTTCCCTGTAGCTGGAGAATTCTCAGAAGTTGGAAACTCTCCCTGTTTGATCTTTGTCGTCTCAGGACCCAATATAATACCTGACATATAGTAGGTGCTCAATAAATGAATTAAATGGAATTCAATTAGTATATTGGCTTTACTGATTATTTTGTTTTAGTCCCCTCCCCTCTTTACTGGTCTGGTTCTTTTCTTTTTCTTTTTTGAGATGGAGTCTCACTTGCTCTGTCACCCAGGCTGGAGTGCAGTGGCATGATCTCGACTCACTGCAACCTCCACCTCCTGGGTTCAAGTGATTCTCGTGCCTCAGCCTCCCAAGTAGCTGGGATTACAGGCATGCACCACCACACCCGGCTAATTTTTGTATTTTTAGTGGAGACAACTTTTCACCCTGTTGGCCAGGCTGGCCTCGAACCCCTGACCTTAAGGGATCTGCCCACCTCAGCCTCCCAAAGTTCTGGGATTACAGTGAGCCACTGCACCCAGCCTGATTGTTTTCAAAGATTTGAAGATAGAGTGCATCAGAAACATTTTTATATTCATTACCTTTACTTTCTATTGCTCAAACGACCTGAAACTTTTGGCCAAATAAAAGCCATTGATGGAAATGGTTTGCAGATGATTCTTAAAAGCGGCTGAGAGGAGAGGGATTAGGGAGGAAGCAAACTCCTTGTGGGACAGTGTCAGAATTCAAAGAGGAAATGCAAAATTAAAAACAAATTTGACTGAATTCTAATAAGATCGGGTATAGAATCATAAACCTGAGGACAATCTCAGTATATAAACCCAAGACGTGGACCAGGCATGGTGGTTCACACCTGTAATCCCAGCACTTTGGGAGGCCAAGGTGGGAGGAACGCTTGAGCCCAGGAAATTGAGACCAGCCTGGGCAACATAGTGAGACCCCCATCTCTTAAAAAAAATAAAATATTAGCTGGGTGTGGTGGCACATACTTACAGTCTCAGCTACATGGGAGGCTGAGGTGAGAGGATTGTTTGAGTCCAGGAGTTCGAGGCTGCAGTGAGCTCTGATCGCACCTCTGCACTCCAGCCTTGGAGACAGAGTGAGACCCTGACTCGAACAGAAAAAAAGAATAAACCCAAGATGTGGAGGAGCGGCATCTCAGAAGCTAAATTCTAGGAGTCATGTGATCCTCTTACCTCAGCCTTGCAGGTAGCTGGGACTACAGGCATGCACCACCACGTTCAGCTAATTTTTGTATTTTTTGTATAGGTGCGGTTTTGCCATGTTTCCCAGGCTGGTCTCAAACTCGTGGGCTCAAGCAGTTCTCCCGCCTCGGCCTCCCAAAGTGCTGGGATTACAGGTGTGAGCCACCGTGTCCAGCCTCATCCACGTTTTGGTCGCAAATATTATGTTGAGGTAAAAATCTAAAAATCCCATTCCCTCTCCCTTCCTCCCCAACATGACATATTAAAACTGGTTGAGACCAGGCGCAGTGGCTTACGCCTGTAATCTCAGCACTTTGGGAGGCCGAGGCGGGTGGATCATCTGAGGTCAGGAGTTTGAGACCAGCCTGGCCAACATGGTGAAATCCGTCTCTACTACAAATACAAAAAATTAGCCAAGTGTGGTGGTGCCTGCCTGTAATCTCAGGAGGCTGAGGGAGGAGAATTGTTTGAACTCAGGAGGTGGGGGTTGCAATGAGCCCAGATTGTGCCACTGAACTCTAGCTTTGGAGACAGAGCAAGACTGTCTCAAAAAAACAAAAGAGGGAGGAGGCTTCCTGAGAGGGAACAGAACAGGTGGAATCCTGGAGTGTTGTGAAGGAGAAGGAGGAGGAGGAGGATGAAGGTGCTGGAAGTGAGGGGAGGTGGGCCAGAGCCTGATCATCAGGGCTCAGTGGCCCATGCTGAACGTTCTGGTCTTTATCCAAAGAGCAGTAGGCAGCCTTTGAAGTGGTCAGCTTTAGGTGGAGGAGTCATGTGATTAGACTTCCATGTTAAGTCCCAGCTTTGAGTAAAGGGCAAGAGAGAATGGGAGTAGATCAGTTAGGTGTCTCTGACAAGAGTAATCCAGATGAAAAAGACAGGCTGAAGGTGGTGGATCTGGAGCATAGTGAACAGATTTGAAATGTTTATTTGGAGTTAAAAATTGGGACTTTAGGATGGGCGTGGTGGCTCATGCTTGTAATCCCAGCACTTTGGGAGGCCGAGGCTGGCAGATCACGAAGTCAAAAGATTGAGACCAGCCTGGCCAACGTGGTGAAACTCTGTCTTTACTAAAAATACAAAAATTAGCCTGGCATGGTGGCACATGCCTGTAGTCCCAGCTTCTCCAGAGGCTGAGGCAGGAGAATCATTTGAATCTGGGACGCAGAGGTTGCAGTAAGCTGAGATCGTGCCCCTGCATTCCAGCCTGGCGACAGAGCGAGACTCTGACTTAAAACAAAATTGGTGCTTCATTAAGAAAGCCTTTTGCACCATAAACATTGTCCTTGATGGCTTTGTGTGTGCCATGGCTCAATGCTTAGTTCTTTCTGCTCCATAAATACTAAGTGCTGGTTCTCCTCTCAGCCATCTTCCCCACCCCATGACTTGGACCCCTAGACTGTTCAGTAGGTGAGGGAATTTTCTCAGTCTGCGTGTTTCCTTATCTGCAAAATGAAGGCAGTAGATGGATGTCTAAGTCCATTTGCCATTCTGTTATTCCACAATCCTGTAAATTTTTTTTCTCTGTTGCCCAGGCTGGAGTGCAATGGCATGATCTCAGCTCACTACAACCTCTGTCTCCTGGGTTCAAGCAATCTTCCCACCTTAGCCTCTCAAGTAGCTGGGACTACAGATGTGTACCACCACACCCAGCTACTTTTTATATTTTTAGTAGACATGGGGTTTTGCCATGTTGGCCAGGCTGGTCTCAAACTCCTGACCTCAAGTGATCTGCCCGCCTCGGCCTCCCAAAGTGCTGGGATTACAGGTGTGAGCCACTGTGCCTGGCCCAATCGTATAATTTTTACCCTGGCAGATTTTTACTAATTATGTTAAACAACAATGCAGATCCAATAGGAACCCCTTTTAAAAATACCAACTAGTGGCCGATCACAGTGGCTAATACCTGTAATTTCAGCACTTTGGGAGGCTGAGATGGGTGGATCAATTGAGGTCAGGAGTTCGAAAGCAGCCTGGCCAACATGGTGAAACCCCATCTCTACTAAAAATACAAAAATTAGCCAAGTGTGGTGGTGGGTGCCCATAATCCCAGCTACTCAGGAGGCTGAGGCAGGAGAATTGTTTGAACCTGGGAGTCAGAGGTTGCAGTGAGCCGAGATTGTGGCATTCCACTCCAGCCTGAGCAACAAGAGTGAAACTCCAACAAAAAGCAAAAAACAAAAAACAAAACAAAACAAAACCAACTAGTAAGAGTTGCTTCTGGTGGTATTCTTTTATGACTTTGCTGAAGCCAAGTGTAACCAGCCCTACCACCTTTCACTTGAAAAATTTATTACTGTTTTTTTTTTTTTTTTTTTTTTTTGAGAAGGAGTCTCGCTCTGTCGCCAGGCTGGAGTGCGGTGGCACCATCTTAGCTCACTGCAACATCTGCCTCCTGGATTCAAGCAATTCTCCTGCCTCAGCCTCCCGAGTAGCTGGGACTACAAGTGTGTGCTACCATGCCCAGCTAAATTTTGTATTTTTAGTAGAGACAGTGTTTCACCATGTTGGCCAGGATGGTCTCGATCTCTTGACCTCATAATCCACTGGCCTTAGCCTCCCAAAGTACTGGGATTACAGGCATGAGTCACTGCACCTTGCCGAAAAATTCATTACTTTTAACCAAAAGGCCTTAACCCTAGTGTCTTGGGACTAATACACTCATCAGCAATGGAGGATTCCAACATTGGTGCCTTCAACTGTCAGTATTTTTCTTGTATTCTGACTTCTTCTTGCCTAGTGGTTCACGAGTTAGATATCTAAGCCCTGGAACAGGACAGAAAGGTACATCAGGGGCTGGCACTCTGGTAGGAGGTGATATATGGACCTATAGTCTCTGCTCTGATGAAATCCAACCATTTCTTTGTGTGTGGGAGGGGTAAGGGAAATCAGATCAATCTGTATTTTTGCTGAGTAGGAGGGCTGTCACTCAAAAAGAGCTCTGACCTCATGGTTAGTCCAAGCTTTTAGCTGTTGGTCTCACTGGTCAATCCAACCATGAATCAGGGCTGAGATTAGGAAGAGGCAAGTGAGACACTCACCTCCCAGTGCAGAATTTAAGGGGGTGCAAAAAACCCAATAATAAGGATAAATAATATTTCAATGTAATATTAGAAAAATTAAATTTTGCATTCAAGGCAAATGCCTCTCTTGCCTCACCCTGGTCCTGACTCTGGCCCTGCTTGATATAACTGCTTCTTCTTCTTTTTTTTTTTTTTTTTTTGAGATGGAGTTTCGCTCCTGTTGCCAGGATGGAGTGCAATGGCATGATTTTGGCTCACCACAACCTCTGCCTCCCGGGTTCAAGCGATTCTCCTGCCTCAGCCTCCCAAGTAGCTGGGATTACAGGCATGTGCCACCATGCCTAGCTAATTTTGTATTTTTAGTAGAGATGGGGTTTCTCCATGTTGGTCAGGCTGGTGTCGAACTCCCGACCTCAGGTGATCCACCCGCCTCGGCCTCCCAAAGTGCTGGGATTACAGGCATGAGCCACTGTGCCTGGCTGATATAACTGCTTCTATAATTAGTCACAAGTGAAGGGAAGTAAGTAGTCAGGTCAGTTATAGGCTGGGCTGCAGACGTCAGTAACAATCAGGGATGGATCAATTCTCAATCTCCCGAGTGCCATGGGAGGCAAGGAGTTGAGATGGCCATAGAATAGAGGATTGGGGCGGGAGGGTGTGGAATAATATGCACCTGTCCTGTACTTCTGCTAACATTTACCCAATGTCTGGACTGAGAAGCAGAGCTATTTTTTTTTTTTTGAGACAGAGTTTCACTCTTGTTGCCCAGGCTGGAGCGCAATGGCTCGATCTCGGCTCACCGCAACCTCTGCCTCCCAGGTTCAAGCAGTTCTCCCGCCTCAGCCTCCCAAGTACCTGGGACTACAGGCATGCACCATCACACCCAGCTAATTTTGTATTTTTAGTAGAGACGGGGTCTCTCCATGTTG